AACCACATGGGGGTGGCGAAGTCATGGTGGTCCTCCTCTCCGGTTGAGTTCGCTTCGGCTTCCTTGTTGAGTGCTTCGAGATCCCGGAGTACGAGCTCACGTTCTTCGGACTGGCTCCAGACATCAACCCAATCAATCGGCTTCTCAGTGTTGCCTTGAATCACTTCCACGATGTGCTCAGCAGGGTTCACGTCAGGTGGACAAGGGGCACCGTTCTTCGCAAAGTAATCAAGAACCTTCTGTGAGTCTTCGCCAGTCTCTCCGAAATAGGTCATTTTGCCTCCCTTCGCCAGCAGGACGAGCGAGTCGAAAGCGTCAAACAGAACAGCGGACGGCTGATGAATCGTACACAACACAGCTTGGCCACCATCAACGAGCTTTCTCAAGAATCGGATAATGTTGTAGGCCGATTGCCCGTCCAGGCCCGAGGTTGGCTCATCCAAAAATAACAAGGTCGGTTTGGCCACAAGCTCAACGCCTAGGGTCACTCTCTTGCGCTGCTCAATGCTGAGGCCCGCGCCCGGGACACCGATCAAAGCATCCTTAATATCACTGAGCTCAAGCAAGTCAATGATGTGGTCAACATAGGCGATTTTCTCTTCCCGTGGCACGCTGGCAGGTTGACGCAACAGAGCCGAGAAAACTAAAGCCTCCCTCACAGTAGCCGTGCCCTCGTGGACGTCCATCTGTTCACAGTATCCGGTAGTCCGCTGAAAGCTGATACCTTGAGGTCGTCCATCAATGAGAATAGATCCGACGATCTCACCGCTGTCCTTCCGCTGAGCAAGCACATCAAGCAATCTGAGATCGTATTAGCCAGGTAGATGTAAAAATGGGTAATCATCAAGCTTACGTGGTTTTGCCAGCACCCGAACTTCCCATTAGCGCAACCAAGTTACCAGGCTTGACATACCCGAAAACCTGGTGCAAGAGTTGCTTCTTCTCTCCGTGAAAGGGAACATAGTAGTCGAGATGATTCCACGTGAAAGTGGACTGCTTACCCGTTTGCGCAAGAGCATTGCCCTCTGACTTGGAAGCACTGGATCCTTCTTCATCGGCTACCTTGGACTTCGCACCTCGTTTGTAAAGGAGCACAGAGGAACCAGATTGATTGTTGTTCATTTCGAAGCCCAGCGCAGTGAGAAAGATGAAGAATGCCCAGAAGCCAACAACGATACCGAAGCTGCGCCAAATGTGGTGGAAGGAATAGCTGTATTGCTCCCGAATGTAAGCAGCCCCGTTAATCACACCGTCTGTGCTTCCTTTGACCGTGCAACCACGATTAGACGAGGCACCGGTCGGGTAACCAGATCCGTAAGGGATATAGTCAGGCGCTACACAGTCCAACTCGAGTCCGACAAACTCGTTGGCCATCAGGGCTTCGAACGCATAGGCACCGGGATTGAGGTAAAAAATCCAGCGGAACCAGACGTGCATCTGCTCGAAGGGAATGAGATAACCTGCGCCCCAGTTAGCTTAGCTCATTGGACGCGAGCTTCCATTGCATACCTCCGTAGACGAAAAATACTGTTGAGACAAACCCAGTCATCTTCGACGCGTTACCGAACTTCTTACAGAGAGCACCAATTGCTCGGAACATCTGCAGGAAGCACAGCGTTTGAATAACGACGATGATCCAGTAAGTAAAAAAGCGGCCAGCATCCATCCGCAATGCAGCCATGAAGTACAGAATCAACGAGAAGCACGAGACCTGCACCAAGACAATAGGAACATCGGTGATGGCGTTGGCGATCGCGAAGGCTGTTGGCCTGTAAAAACCAAATCTCTTTTGGCGCGAGAGAATCGGCCGACCCGTGAAAGACGCGGTTGTTTCCGACATGGCATCCAGAAGGAAATAGAGAACTGCAAAGAAGAGAGCACCTGGTCGCAAAAAGATGGAAGAGCTGTCAAGCTTGAGGTTGTAAAACAGACTACCACAGACAAGAGCTTGAAGAATAGCAGATACCACCTTGATGATGACAGATAGTCTATCACCGGCCAAGATTTGGAATTGACTGCGCCAATGTCAGTGCCCAATCAAAGTTCAATCATACGACTTTACTCACCGCACTGTGCAGCTGGCGACTTGGTGCCAGAGACCCGCCGTGTAAACGCTCTGGGGCCGAGGGAGATGCTGCTTTCTCTTCTCCATCAGCACTGCATTGGCCAAGTTGATCTCTTCGTCAACCAGCTTCTCTGGTGGCTGGATGTCCTCGAGCATCTGAGAGCAAATCGAACTCTGGCGGTAGTAGGCCTCGAATTCAGCTGCAGTATTGGGCACCTTCTCTTCCATTCCCGGAGCCACGATACGCTCCGTGGTCACGGTGACGGAGGTAAGAAAATCGGCGATATTGGCACCCCGGGGACAGACGAAGCCCATGTCCTCAAAGTAAGCTCTGGCCATCGCCCGCGGACCGTAGTAGGTCACCACACCATCTGCCAACACCAAAACCTTATCAAACTGGTCGTAGATGCCGTTGCCCGCCTGGTACATGGTAGCCACGATCGTCTTCTCGTTCTGGTCTGCCTCGCGTCGAAGCATGCGAGCGAATTCCACTGCCGTCTTTGAATCCAAGCCGCGAGTTGGGTTATCCCAAAACTGAACAGGGCTCTGTAGATGAATAATACTTAGCAATAGATCCACGAAGTCGCGATACATTCATGACCATACCTGACCAGCCATCATCTCCGCCAATGACACCCGTTTCCGTTCGCCACCGGAGACACCTCGAATGAACTCATTTCCGACCAGAGTCTTCTTCGTGTGCGGAATCCCCAAGGAGCCCAGGATGTCATCTCGCTTCTCTTGCACGTACGCATTCCTGTCCTGCAGATGTTCAGGCCGTTCCCGAGGTACCTTATTCCGTAGAGCAAATTTCATCGTTCGATTGACCGTTAGCGTGGGGAAGTGCACATCGTCCTCATTGTTGAACATGATCTGTTGGCGATACTTCTTTGCCTCCTTGTGGTCCATACTTCCGTAACGGGTCTCGCCCACGACCTCGTCGAAGGCACCGCGATCGTTCGACAACACTCGCAGAAAAGAAGTACAGCCGGAACCGGGACGACCGAGAACGAAGAGCATCTCCCCCGGTCGAACTTGACCAGTGATCTCCTTCAAGATCGTCCGCTTGGGCCGCCGGCTCTTCTGGAACCAGCTGGTGATTTGTCGCGGGTCGGCCACCGACGATAGTGTTTCTCCCAGTGCCGCATCAGGCGCGGTGACGTTCACGCTGACATTGCGGAATGTGAGCGTCAAGCGCTTCCGGATATCGGAGGCCCCGGACTCCATGTCGACCGTTGCTGAGGATGAAGATGTGTCCATGTTTGCTGATAGGTCCGATCAGATCGTAGCTATGCGTGCTTGGGTGTCCCGGTCAGTATATCCGCCATAATTCTGGCTGGAAAGTCCATACCTAAGAATCACGGTCCATGAAGCTTCAGCCTAAAAAAACACTCACTCGGATTCAGAGATGCATCTGAAGCTACCTTCGGACAGCTCGAGGAAGCTCAGACTCTTTTATTATGATTTGGATTCCTGCGTGGCATATACGATACGCAATTACTGCCAGTGCACATATCCGCAGATCCGTAAAGCCGATATCCGTAAAGCCGCCCAGTTTCCACCGACGAGCTTTCCGATTAGCTCATTGGCCAATCTGGAGAATTGGTCCACAGAAGGCGTTGCTTATCATGGTTCCGATGGTCCACGGATATGAAAATGCAGTGTTTTTGATCTATAGCCGGCTGCGCTAGAATTCGCGTTGTCCACCGTGCCTGAGCAAGTTGCCCATTATGACCTAATTCGAACCCCGATTCAGAATGGCGAGCTTTCTTGTTTAGGGGCTTGATCCAGCCTTATCCCGAACTCTGTTTCAGCGCGAATCAGATGCGTTTCTGCTGGCGTCAGGGCCAGACCACTCGGATGAGGGACCTGGACTCGCGAATCGCGGAGTCATCCTGGCCGCTGATAAATCAAGACTGTAGGGGACGGCTTTCTGGCTATCTCAACAAATGGGAGGCCAAGGGTCAGAAACAGGGACATCAGCTGTCTTCATCTCGTTCACCGGAACTCCGTCACTGAGGTATAACAGCGATGATGGAGCCGTGATAAGGCAAAATATCGAACGATCGACCACGTGGCGATAGCAAGCTCTTGATATTTCGTCTGTCAGATAGCGCAATGAATGTATGTGTTTCGGGGAAGATTTGACGGGTCAATAGTATGCACTTTGGCATGCTGTTACGTATCCCCTTTCGCACGGGTAGAGAGCCGGTGTGTCTGTGATGTCTTAGCCACGTGTATCCGGATTTCCAAAGTCTCTTTCCTGAGGAGTCGAAACGTTGGCTCTTCAAAGAGATTCCCTGCCATACTCTAGCCAGAACTGACATGATCCTCATCCTATCGGTGGAGACAGCTTGAAAGAGACAGCCATTGGAGACAAAGCACAAGAACTTGTCTTTAATGCGAATATGCCAAGCAAGGGCCACAAGGTTCGAGCAGTTTCAGCATTTCAGCAAAGAAGATAAAGCAAGAAAGAAATGATCTCACGCAAGAAAACCGAATTGACCAGGTCTCTTCCCTAATCGTAATATCGTTCGTGTAAAGTTGAGCGATGGTGGTGGTTGAGCCGCCGCACTAGACGGGTTGACATTCGGCGAAGACCAACCAACAACTGGCGGGCGACCGGTCTCTTAGCTCCGGCTCCCGCGTATCTCTCAATTTCTCCCCGAACACCAACCACCACCACCACGCAACTTCTCCGGACCTGACCTTCCACCCGGTCGGCGAAGCCCCCTAATGGCGTGAACCACGACACCATTTTCCCTTTCCTTGGGCCCTACATTCTCATCACATAACAAGATACCCTCACAACCATGAGCGCCTCACGGGTAGGCCGAGCGACGCTCAAATCCGCCAAGGGAGCAGCAGCAGCAGCAGCAGCAGCAAAGCCCGCCAACGCTGCACCCCGTACCGGCGCGAAGAAGAACAAGCTGAAAGCTGCAGCCCCAGTGTAAACAATCTCAGTACCCCATCCTCCATTCCCCCCAAAAAAAGACCCCGAAACTAACCCACCATCCCCAAAAGTCACCCAGAATACACCCCGGCACTCTCCAAACGCGCGCACCCCACGCTGACAGACTTCCACCACCACCCGCCGTCCACAACGACACGCATGAGCCCGCGCGTGATGACCGTGCTAGGCGTCAGCGCGCTCGGTCTGAGCGCCTACATCGGGTACCTGTACGCCTCGTACCGCCGCGAAGTGACGTACTCGCAGAACCTGTCCGCCACGGTGCCCGCCACCGCCAACGTCACGGACCGCTACAACACGACGGCGCGCACCTTCGACGCCGACGTCGAGATGTCCGAGAAGCTGATGCGGCTGGGCGCCAAGCGCCGCGACCTGTGCCGTCGCGCGCGCGGCGACGTCCTCGAGGTCAGCTGCGGCACGGGGCGGAACATCGAGTACTACGACTTCGGGCCGGTGCGGCGCGGGATCGTCGACGAGCGGACGGGCGCGGTGGGCGTGCGCGGCTGCCGCTCCGTCACGTTTGTCGATCTCAGTCCGCAGATGGTGGACATGGCGCGGCGCAAGTTCGAGGAAATCTACCCTGGGGATGAGGCCCTCCGCAAAAGGGTGGAGTTTCGGGTGGAGGATGCGGCGGCCGTCGGGGGCGGCCCCAGTCGGGAGATTACCGGGGCGGCCGTCGCGGGCCAACCCAAACCATACTTCGATACGGTGGTGCAGACGATGGGGTTGTGCTCGTTGCCGGACCCCGTGGGCACGTTGAAGCATCTGGGGACGCTAGTGGATCCGCAGAAGGGCGAGATTCTGTTGTTGGAGCATGGTCGCTCGCATTATGCGTGGTTGAATCGCGTGCTCGATAATCTGGCCCCCGCCCATGCGGATCGGCATGGGTGTTGGTGGAATCGCGATATCGGCCAGATCGTGAGGGAGAGTGGCTTGGAGGTCGTCGAGGAGAAACGCTGGCATTTTGGTACGACGTGGAAATATGTTCTGAGGCCGGCAAGAAAAGCAGCCGAGTAAAAGTGTGCCTCGATGATCTTGTGCTGCTGTTTTGGGAGTGGCACGCTTACGGTGTAGATGGTTATGGTTGTAGATTTGCATGTACTATATGTATCTATAGTGGTTCTTCTGAGCGGAGTTGTGTTGTTCTAATAGATAGACTTAGAGATCCTATGTTAGAGTAGATTCTCCTGAGTAATGTAGACGCGGAGGACGAATCCAGCATGCGACAAGTAGGCAGACCTTAACATATTGCTGGGAATCAGTGCATAAGATTCGCTGGGAGTGTTTGCTTTGAAAATTCTGCTAGTTTCGTTCCAGATCACTACTCACGACAGACAATGGGCCGATGGAGGTCAGAGACCCTGACCAGGGTTAGTGATAAATGGAGCAATAGCCTCAGGCGGATAGGGCTGAGGGACGAAAGGGACCTGGAACCGATAATGCCCGGACCCGACCTTTTGTTCCCCCGTCTCAGAGCCCAGTCGAACGATGGCCGTTGCATTCAGGGGCACGTCGAGCTCGACCGCGAGCACCTTCACACGATCATCATCCTGCGAAGGGCTCAACTCCCATCGACAGAACCAGCGCCCATACGGGCAGTCATGCGAAACCGCCGCGTGGGTTAAAGGCCCCCCCGGTTGAGGAGACACAAGGACAGTCTTCCACCCGGGCTCGCGCGGGACCAAGCCCCCGACGGTCTCATGCAGCCATTGAACAACAGACCCGAGAGCATAGTGATTAAAGCTGGTCATCTCGCCGGGGTTGATCGACCCATCCGGCAACAGGCTATCCCATCGTTCCCAGATGGTTGTGGCCCCCTGCATGATAGGATAAAGCCACGATGGACACTTATCCTCGAGTAGCATCCGGTAAGCTAGGCTCAGATTGTTGCTGTCACTGAGGGCCTGGAGGATGATGGGGGTGCCGGCAAACCCCGTGGCCACGCGGAATTTGGCCATACGCACCAGGCGCGACAGCTGGCGGCTGATGGTTGTACGTTGGGTTTCGGAATCTACCAAGCCAAAGACGATGATCAAAGCATACGCTGTTTGGGAGTCGCCGGCGACCAACCCGCTCGGAGTCACATACTTGGCATGGAAGGCTTGGAGGTGTCGGTCGGATGCTTGCTGGTAGTGGATATAGTCGGCTTCTTGCCCGAGAAGTCGACTGATCTGTGCCAGGGTTCTGGTGACGCGCACCAAGTAGGCATCTGCCACGAGCACGCCGCTAGTCCGCCCATCTCCTGGCTCGTCTGAAGGAGCCTGAGGATCCAGCCAGTCTCCGAGCTGCCAGTGGTCCGGATCCCACAGCCCATCGTTGCCCCGACGAACCCCCTGGTCCAGCCATGCCTTCATACTGGGATACTGTCGCCGGAGGATTTCCACATCACCCGAGGCCTGGTAGAGATTCCACGGCAGAATAATCACCACATCGTCCCAGACAGCCTGTGGCATCGGGGGCCAGACGTGCTGAAGCACATTCGGCACGACTAGTGGAGGCACTCCTCCATCGTCGTGCTGCTCTGCAGCTACGTCCTCCATCCAGTCGGCCAGCATCCCTTCGCAGTAATACAAGAAGGTTGCCGACGGGCTGAAGACCTGGATATCACCAGTCCAGCCCAGCCGCTCGTCCCGCTGGGGGCAATCAGTTGGGATGGACACAAAGTTGCCTCGCATGCTCCACCGAGCGTTGCGATGCAGCTGGTTGATCGCATCATTCGAGCACTCAAAATCCCCCGTCGGAGCAAAGTCTGTGTGTAATATCAATGCGGTGATATTCTCTTGCGAAGAGAGTGATGAGGACAGGGGGTCCCATCCATCTACCTGCACGAAGCGAAATCCATGAAAGGTAAACTTCGGGGACCAGTCCCTGAGGGTCTCTCCGGAGGAAATGATCACGTCGATGCATTTGGCTTGACGCAGCGGTCGTATGCCCAACTCCCCATTCTCCAACACCTCTGCGTGCGTGAATTTCGCCTCAGCATTGGCGGGCAGTCCCAACTCCCGCACATGAAGTTTACCCACCAGATTCTGACCGAAGTCGAGAATCAAACGCCCAGAAGGGGTGGTAAACAAGCGCCGCGCTGTAACCTGCTGTGTAACCCGGACAGCGGGCGCTCGAGGGACGACCAAGGATGCCTCCGGCAAAGCCAGCGTCACGACCGGCTTCCAAGCCGCCGCCGCCGTCGTCGTCGTCGTCTCCTGGTAGTCGGGGTCGCCGTGCCAGTCTCCCAGCTCCTCGCGCATGTCGTACAGCTCGCCATCATAGAGCTCACTGCGCACGAGGGGGCTGAAGTTGCATTTCCAACTGCTGTCCGACACGACCTGCAACAAGTGATCCTTCCGGGCGCCAACGATCTCCAATTGAACGAGCGCACCGATCTGGTCGCCGTAGAGGCACCGCCTCCCACCGTTGAACCCCAGGCGGCCTGCATACCACCCCTCGGCCACCTCCACTCCCAGCACATTGCGAGCTGCGATCCCGGCAGAGACATCATGAGCCCGGTACGCCATACGATGGTGGTAGCTCGTCCAGCCCGGGGCCAACTCGTCGTCCCCCACCCGCTTCCCATTCAGATAGACCCGATACATCCCCAGCGCTGTCACGTAGAGTCTCGCTTGTTCCACGGCCCCAAAATCGGCAGGGAGCTCGAAGGTCTTCCGGAACACGACCGGTCTGAGAGTCTGCTCGCCTCCGATCGCCGTGTGAACCATCGGGACGGCGGCCCAGTCCTGCTGGCTGAGCAAAGCACACTCCACCCGGCTCCATGTCGACCACGCAGTGCAACCAGCATGCTCTTTGGCTTCTGGGCCATGATCTCCTGTCGTTTCCGTCCAGGTGCCGTGAGCGCGCACGCGAATCAGCTTACGTTCGCGTGAGCGCAGCGGAGGGCCCGGCCATGGCACCCACGTCGACTCGGGGCTGTCCACTCGATAGATCTGTCCTTCGTCCTCCGGATGGCATTCCGGTGCTTTCAGGGCAATCTCGTATGCGGTTTGGACCCAATTGCGAATACTCTTGTTCGAACAAGTAGCCTTCCACGAGAGACGGGGCGCGTCATGCTGGATCCCGAAGCCGGACGGGGAGTGCTCGAATGCGAGAGCGAGAATTTCGGCCATCTCGAGGTTGCTCGTGAAGGAAGGAAGCGACTAATACTGGCCTGTAAATTGTTGATCATGAGTCCAAACAGGGAGGGAATTCTCCTCTCATATGAGGACTCGCATCATTTTTGCCCCGAGATAACCGACAGGAACAAGCCTTCAGCACTGCGAGAGATAACTTGGGAGATCGAATGACAACACACTTCGAATTCCGGATGGCTAGCTCGCTATGCACATCATCTGTTGTAACATATATCCAACGTGGAAAGACAGAGCCGATATACTAATTGATACTATGCCATAGATAGCGGCGAGGCTGGATTGTGGAAATGACGCTCGGGTTGGACCATGCCGAACGAGGCCGCCAACGGCTTCCCCGCAAAGCCGGCAACTGCTGCACTCAACATGTGATTACGCCGAGACATTTCGCAAATAATGTATACAAAACTACGAAATACGAGTTACTTTGGATAAAAGAAGTACATTTATTTGAAGTTTTTTTAATCCTTTTTTTTATAGCAACCAGGAGTCCGTAATTATGCCAGCCATAAACCTAGGCATAGCCCCGAAGTCCTCAACCTCCCGATACAATGATCCGCTTTCATAACATTCCGTAAGATCTAAAACAATAAAGAATTTTTTTCCATCTTTTTGGTGTTGCGGTGTTGGTGAAGAACCATCCGATTGAGCAAAAGGCAATCAGAGGTCGGAAGCATCACGTCATTGGAAAGGACCAATGAATGAGACGCTGCCCGAAGGCGAAGAACAGAAAAACCAGTAATTAGAAGGAGGCAACCATTCGACCAGCGCACAGTACCGCCCCCTTGATCTGCGGTGTGCGACTATCTAAGATGGTAAGACGATTTGTGTTTGATAAAAGAGACAACCAGGTAGCAAGAAACGAGTCGCTAGAACGCCGTACAAATGCTAGCATGAGGAATCGTGACGTGCGCAAAGAAACAAGAGAAACCACGTCTGATAGATCGACGGGCGATGTGTCGGAAGCGACCATAGCGAGTCGACGAAAAGAAAAAAAAAAGTTTTGTTAATACAGATCGGTGAAAGGTGGAAGAATGGCGACGGCGTGATCTTCCTGGTTCGAGCCGAAAGGCCGTTTTTAAACTTTACGGAAATCTTTTTACGCATGTTAGTGAATGTTGTCACCTCGTCATCAGAGACGAAAGAATGTAGTAGTGCATACCCGAAAGCACAGGATAGATCAGCTCGAAAGCCTGATAGATCTCCTCACGGACTTTAGCACCGGTGAGGACAATCTTGCCACTGACGAAAATCAGGAGCACGATCTTGGGCTTCATCATGCGATAGATGAGACCAGGGAACAATTCGGGTTCGTAAGAACTGAAGTTGTGGTGGCGACTAGCCAAGCCCTCCAGGCGGATCGGGAACTTGATGTCGCAGGAACCGACAATGTTCTGGATTTTGAAATCCGTGAACTTGGCGTTGAAGCCGAGCTTCTGAATGATACGGGCGTATTTTCTGGACGCCAGCTTGGAATCATCTTCCGACTTGGCACCAGTTACCACCATCTTGCCGGAGGCGAAGATCAAAGCAGTCGTCTTCGGCTCTCGGATACGCATGATCACGGCCGCGAAACGCTATGGGAAGAGAAAAAAAGACCAGTTCAGCCACAATGTCCCCTGACGTGCCAAGCTCAGGAGGATGTGGAAAGTAATACCTTTGGGTTGTACTCCGCATTTCTTGCGTGGAGCGCGATCGTCTTCAGGTCCAGGCGACAGTCAAGGTTGACCGTGGCGACAATGTTTCTTTGAAGATAGAAGAAGTCTTGTTCAGCAATCTGGTAAACCAGAAGAACGAGAACAGTAAGAGTATACTCACTGCAACGTAGGCACAATGCCGCTTCCTGGCGCGTTGGCACCAGGAGTAGCAGCGGGAGTTGCGGGCGCCACCCCATTGCCATTCGAGGCATTTGCTCCCTGCTGCTGACCGTTCAAACCTCCGTTGACACCTTGAGCCATTGCCATGTGTGCGTCTTTTTCGGAAGGTGGCGTGAGATCACCAGCACCACCGGGAAAGGACAGAGAGGCAGGAGAAGTGAAGGCCCGGGCCTGCTGCGCAGTGGCCGGATGAGTTGTGAGAGAATCCATCGCGGACGAGAGTCAAGATACTCGAGCCGTAGACCAGCCGACGCTGAAGAAGTGATGAGAGCTTTCGGATGACAGTCTGCACCAGATATTCTCAGTCAGTCCAGGGAGACAGACAAGGCCAGGGAAGTGGTAAGATGGTGGTGGTGGTGGTGGTGGTGGTTGGATAGTGAAATGGTTGCGAAGGTGACAGGAAAAAGGCGGTCGGGTGGCGAAAAAAAAAAACACCCAACGGCGACGAAAGAGTCACGTACCCTTTTGTGGGAGATGAACAAATCAATGTCTCCCCTACAGCAACACTGCCCACAATCGACGAACCGTTTCAAGAGAATAAAACGGAATGAGGTCCGAGGTAGAGTGCCAGAGATAAAACCAACAAGAACCCACAAGTCAAATCAAGTCAAGTCAAGATGACAAGAGCCTGACTGAATGATGATCGAGTAGTACCACGAAGCCCAGATGGAGGATGGGAGAGAGGACGGTGAGGATGAGGACTAGAAAAGCACAACCAAGTGTTTTCTAGGGAGCAGGGAACAACTCGACGCAGCCTCTGCAGTTATTGCAGAAGTGAAGTAACAAGCACAGAGTGAATAGGGAGTGTCAAGACAGTGCGATGCACGTGATATGATCAAAGGCAAAAACTTTTTTTTCCTCTTTTGGAATTGGTGATGTCTATCTGCGTTTGGAGAGAAGGTGCGCGTGGATGTGAAGAGAGAGAGAGAGCGACGAAGATGCGAACCTGAGGTTGCAACCTTCCTGTTTCAGTAACTGAATCTGAAACAGTGTAGTAGTAAGATAAGAAAAAGGAAAGAGGGAGAGGTATTTCTTCAACCTTTTTCCAATTCTTGGCTTCCTAAGAACTTCTTCCCGGGGAATCTTAGACCAGCGCGAAAAGCAGTAGAGACAGCTAAAAATTTAGCGGCTCTGTGAACTGTACGAGTGGAGAGAATAGGGGGTATAGGAAGGGGGGGGAGGATATCGGGCGGGAAGAGTGTGTATGGCTTTCCGGGCGGTGCCAAGACCAGAATCAAAATTTCCAACAGAGTCAGGAAAGTGGGAGGTTGGGCCTTTATATAGGCTGACTCACAGCCGCCGGGGAGGGGTGGGTGATGAAGGGAAAGGTAGGGAAAGAAGGGGAGCTGGCGTCAAGGGGGGCTGGGCCCGGCGGCGAAAGGCGGCAAAAGCAGCGACGGTCACCCATGGATATGGCTCATTTGGCTGGTTCAGCACAAGTATTTTTCAGTGTTTTCAGTGTTTTTCTATGGACCTAACGCTCCACTAGCGGCTCTTGGAGGGTGGCCAACGCCGCCCACTTCGCACTTCCCAAGCAAAGACCTCCCCCCAAGACCCCCCCAAAACCCCCAAGAACCCCCAAGCACAAGCGCTGGTTTGTTGATCGGCCGACCCACGGTAAACACATTGTCTGGGAGTTCCACTGGCGTGCACCTGTTCTCGTTGGCTGTCGCCCCCCTTACTCTTTTTTCCCGACCGGCGCCATGGTTGCAGCCACTCGATTTGAACCAGTCCGCGTTCCTCCTGCGATCCACTTTTGCAAAGTCCATCCATTCCGTTTCCTTCCAATCATGCCGGATTGCTGTTCTCGGCGACTAGGGAGATAGCGAGGTAGACTAACGCGTCTGCCCGCCATCACGGTCCTGCCGCTTTAGCAACTGGTAAGTTAGCCAACCCTCCACAAAAGCAAAGATGGAGGATGAAAAAAAAAAATGAAAATGAAAAAAAAGAAAATTTTTGCTCTCTTGGCCCGGTTTCTCTTCCTTTCCATGAGCTTGTTTGGGGCCTCAGCGCTGCCTTGATCGCGGCCCCAAATAAAGGATTCTCGATTGAATATGATGCTTCTGATCTGAAATCATCTTGCGACTAACATTCAGTCACATTTTGCGTTCTGAGAATCGCTATGATCGAAAGGAATCAAGATACAGAATGATGGAGGATGGAGGATGGAGGATGGATCAACCGGCTGGAAAAGAAGCTGGGCCGACCGCGACAAAAAAAAAATTGGGAAGGGTTTCAAGCCGGTCGCGTCATGGGGTCGGTGGACTGGACGCGTCCTCCCTTTTCATTTGGCGTTGCCTGCCGCCTCCAACAAGCCTCAAGGGCAAGGCTCCAGCCGATGGTACTTTCTTGCTCCTATGAGCAGTAGGTACTCCGTACGGTACTCCGTACTTCCAAGTTCAATCCCTGCTTGACCTTCTTATTCTACCCCGGATCTTAGACCACCAAACTGTGATCCACCAGCTCGATCGGTATTCGGTCAACTTGCAGCCTTGATGCACTGGTCACTTTGGGCTGGGAAACCTTCATTTATGTATCGATCTTGATCTCAGACATGACCAGTATCAGCACTGAACCAGCCCTCAAGCTTATCGCTCAACCCTCCTGACTGGCTATGCTGCATGCCTTCCGTCTCTGCGCCGGTTTACGTAATCCGGCCAAGTGTCCTTTTCCAAGCCTCTATCGCAAAGAATAGTAGACAGTACAGAGGAGGTTTTTATCATTACTCGACTGTTGCCACCAGGATTCAATACTCGGTACACGGCATTAGATGAAGAGGACGAAGTACGATACTTCGTACTATGTATAGTAATCCGTGGATGCGGAGACGAATATTGTACATGCATGTATAGTGCATGGACCACATGACTAGAGACGCGTTGTGCCACATCGTTGTGCATTCAAATGCTTATTTACTGTGTATTTATTCGGTGGGTTTTCAGTTGTTGCTGCATCGCCACACTCACAGAGTGTCAAGATCTTTGTCAGCCGGTGTTCATCACATGGGTGTCAGAGTACGGAGTATACTGAGTAGTATAAGGCCGGGCAGGCAACCGGAAATCGTCGATGACATCTCGATCGCGTGTCGTCATCGGGGCTTGGTTATCTTCTCGGTATCTCTGGGATTAATTTGAATCTGCTCGACTCTTGGTTGCCTTCATGTGATATTTGAAGGCCAGGTCTGACTAAGTACCTGCCACAAACTGCACCTGGTTGCCACGGCTATCTCCGGCAAGGTGACATTTGGACCAACTGGAAGTGTCATGGACCCATTACTCAAGATCGGCGACGCGAACCATTCGATCATCACGACGTATGTGCAAAAAGCAGCTTCGATGTCGGTCAGAGACTCAGGGTCCATCGGATGGCAAGACACCGAGTACCTATTGTACCGACAGCACTAACTGCAGCCTGGAGTGACTGTTGTTGCCCTTGCGCATGTCCCGACGGGATTCACGGCTGTATGAGCGGAAGTACCGTGGTTTTACCTAGTAGGATACCTAGTAGGACACCTAGTAGTATTGAGGGCGAGTTGATTCACATTATCCGCCTTTCCATTGGCCGCCGTTACCTCGGGCCGACCACCAAAATTTCAATCCACCTCATCTTTTCCCCCCCTCTCCTTCATCCTCTTAGTCACACTCCTCCCTCCATTGGATCAGTGCTTCAATCTGGCCGGTCGGAGAAGTGACTCCTCTGATTCTAGTAGTTTGTTACTGCTACTACTGCGATTTCACAGGGCTATAATACTCTTGTTGACGATACTCCCTCTACCTTCTACTGTCGCGATCTATTCGCCGTCTATGATGCATTTGTTCTCAGTATAGGATTCGCAACTTCCAGCCCTACTGTGACCTTCGTCCCCACTCCTATCTCCTTCCCCTTCAGTCTTAATCACATCTTCTTCGCCTACTCGCCTAAACAATGGCCTCCAAAGGCGCGGTTCTGCCGTTGTTGAGGCGCGAGTTGCGACCCTCTTCCCTGCGCCTCCCCAAGGCTTCCGCCTCGTTGTCGTCACTCGCAACCTCTGCACGGCCCTCAAACCGCTCCTTGCCAGCCTCCTACCGTAAAGCCATTCGACCACGGTCGCTGTTCACTCCCATTCAGACACGCGCATTTTCACAATCGGTAACGCGAAGATTAACCGATGCCGATGGCAATTTCGATCCCCGTCAGCTGGACAGAGAATCGGATGAGGTGGATGTTTGTATTGTCGGTGGCGGTAGGGACTCCGCATAGACTCGGTCGCGCGAGGGGGGTGCATCGCGCAAGTGGAAGAATGTAAAGTGACTGACCGTTATTGTTTGCCGCTTGAAATAGGTCCCGCTGGTCTCGCCGCAGCTATTCGATTGAAACAATTAGCCAATGAAGCCGGCAACGAGGAATTCCGCGTCATTCTGTTGGAAAAGGCCGGCGAACTTGGCGCCCACGTCCTGTCCGGCAACGTACTCGAGCCAACGGCGTTGAACGAACTCCTGCCCGACTGGCTTGCGGAGGACAACCCATCCCGCTTCGAGGGAGCGACCCCTGCGAAGGCGGATAAGATGCGCTTCCTGACCCAGAACTCGTCCTTCCCGATCCCCGCGCCACCACAGATGAACAACCACGGCAACTACATCATCAGTTTGAACGAGCTCACCAAGTGGCTAGGAGAGCGGGCGGAGGAACTTGGTGTCGAGATTTATCCCGGATTCGCAGCCAGTGAGGTGGTTTACAAGTCGGATGGCTCCGTTCTTGGTGTCGCAACCAACGATCTTGGCATCGGTCGCGACGGCAAAGCGAAGGATAGTTTCGAGCGGGGTATGGAGTTCCATGCGCGGGTCACCTTGCTGGCCGAGGGCTGTCATGGAAGCTTGACCAAGCAAGTGGCTAAGAAGTTCGACCTTCGCCGCGATAGCCAACCGCAGACCTATGGTATCGGTCTTAAGGAGATTTGGGAGATCCAGCCCGAGAAGTTCAAGTCGGGTGAAATCACGCATTCCATGGGATATCCTCTTCCGTCGGATACCTACGGTGGAGCCTGGATGTACCACTTCGGCGACAACATGGTCAGCATTGGCTTGGTCGTGGGCCTG